AGCTGGACGCAGTAGTGTGCAGACATTCCCACCCCAAGGCCACCCATATACTGCTCATAACGAGCCCAACCAGAGCCAGCCGAAGCCAAGGCAGCCAACACTCAAACACGTCCTCGCAATGTAGGTTTTGCGTGGGGGGTACGTTCTGGGCCGAAGGGCCCTGTCATTGATTTGCCGATTTTTGGTGAAGCCGCCTCAAGTCGTGAACGGTTGGGGGGGTCCCAACCCTTGTCCATTTGGAGACCGGCCTGTCCATTTGGAGGGTTGGGGGCCCCCACACAAGAAGCCGGGCCACTTTTTGGAGGGTGTCGTGTCCGGCACCAGTTTTTTGGAGGCTTTATAAGGCCCACACAAGACGCCGAGGGTTGTCCGGCGAACCCCTGGGGTTGTCCGGCGAACCCTTTGGGGTTGTCCGGCAAACCCTCGGGGTTGTTCCGGCGAACCCCTGTCCAAACCAGAGCCAGCCGAAGCCAAGCCAGCAACACTCAAGCACTTCCTCGCAATTTAGGTTTTGCGTGGGGGGTACGTTCTGGGCCGAAGGGCCCTTTCATGGATTTGCCGATCTTGGGCTTCGAGGGGAACAATCCGTATCCAGTTAGAGCCAACACCATGAAACAAATTGGATTCATGAAACAAGTTGGATTTCACAATTTAGGTTTTGCGTTGGGGGTATGTTGTGGGCCGAAGGGCCCGGTCATTGATTTGCCGATTTTTGGTGAAGCCGCCTCAAGTCGTGAACGGTTGGGGGGGCTCCCAACCCTTGTCCGTTTGGAGACTAGCCTGTCCATTTGGAGGGTTGGGGGCCCCCACACAAGAAGCCGGGACCGTGTCCGGCGCCACTTTTTGGAGGGTGTTCCCCCCAGGACCGTGTCCCGCGACACTTTTTGGACCGTGTCCGGCGCCAGTTATTGGAGGCTTAAGGCCCGCACAAGAGGCCGAACCTTTGGGGTTTGTCCGGCGAACCTCGGGGTTTGTCCAGCGAACCCCTGGGTTGTCCGGCGAACTCCTCCTTGGCGGCGAACCTTTCGGGGTTGTCCGGCGAACCCCTGCGGTCCGGCGAACCCCAGTTGTCCGGCGCACATTCCGAGAGCACTTTTGATGTGGTTTAGGGTAATAGAATAACTATAGAGACTATGCTTGGCGACCAAGCTAGGCGACCCCTCAGGGGTGCGGTCGCAGGCCCGAGCCGCTCAGCTCGGGCCTGCATGGTCTCGCTGGCGCTCGACGGCGCCCACCCACCTCTAGATTGAGAAGGGTGGTGGGCGGGTTAGGGTTTAGGGTTTAAGGTTGAGGGTTTAAGGGTTTTGGGGTTTAGGGTTTAGGGTTGTACCGCTTCGGGTTTCGCCGGGATGCCCAAGCCTTTAAGCCTTTAGGAACGGGTTGAGGGCTTAGGGTTTTAGGGTTTGGGGTTTAGGGTTAGGGTTTCGGGTCCCCCCTAGAAAGATGCCAGAACCTTAGTTAGGGAATAAACATGAACTCCTCGTGAGGATCCTTCTTTGTCTTGAAGCCTAAACCCTAAACCCTAAACCCTAAGTTCCTGTGTTCAGGTCTTGTGGGGGGGATCCCATAAGGGTCCCACAGGCGTTCTTATAAGGGCTCCATAAAGGCTCTATACTTGGAGGCTCGTGGTTAATTCTAAGTAGAGCCATAAGTAGGATAAGTATGGTGATAAGCCATATTGAAGGACTCATAACCCCACTTATAAGTTGTGACTACCCATGAACCTCCAAGTAAGGACGGGCCCAAGGGGAGAAGATCCGAGGGATCCTTTGGAAAACCTTAGGGCGCACTAGGGAGACTTGGGGATTACGAGGCACTGCACCTCCAATCCCACTACCTCGAAACAACAAAAAACTAAACACCTAGACCTGAACCCACAACCCTAAACCCAACAAAAAATCTGAACGTCCGGTGCGGAGACGCCTTCTTTGGCACTCCGCAGATCCTTGCGGCCAGCGCGATCGCCCTGCCTCGTCTGCGCAGGAGCCGTTGCTGGCCGACAAGCGTTGTTCTTGCAAGTTTAGGGTTTAGGGTTCATGGCCGCTTCCAACCACACTGATTACATGTCCTTGCAATAGCGCCAGCATTCTCATGGCCGTAGCCTAGCAACCGCCACACTCAAATCTGGAACGGCATTGCTCTGTTGGGGAAGCGGTGTTTACATTACGGGGACCGCGTTACTCATGCACTTAGCATGCTAGTGGTCGAAGTTACATAGTTTTGCCATTAGCTTTACGACGAAATGATTGCCAGTTTGATGGAAGTCATGATGGTCGTGCACCATCACTGCAATAATGACCAACTGTGACTATTGCACGTTCATCGCGTTCGTTCTTGGCAGGTTTGATTCCATACGCCTCTCCCTATTCTGACCATTAACATAACGACGATAATGTAGGGGCGTAAATAATTAGAACAGGGTATTGGCCCCTTGTATAGCAGAATTATAATACGGAACGCCCAAAATAGTATAGGTAATAATCAAAGCCCCTACATTAGACGCTGATGGCGATGATTCGCTGTCGCCACAAGAGCAGGGCTGCAGCCAGGGCCGACCCAAGCCTCAGAGCCTCTCGCAATCCTTCGCCCTAAACTGTAAACCCTCCAGTTTAGGGTTTAGGGTTTAACGTTCAACATATAATATAATGTGATGCAGTATAATATAGATGAATATTCTGCCTGAGAGGCCACGAAAGCTAGGGCCAAAAAGGAACCAGAGTCGACAGAGCTCGGGCAATGTGGATGCAGGTATGTAGTGCCATAAAGCTTCAGCCT